AAGAGTGTGGCTGCAGTCTAGATAGCAAAAGGTTTTGCTGGTTGAGAAAGAACAATATAGGTGTGTTCTCTATGGAGGTCGGGTCAAAATGGAGCTCAGATCTGACTGGTGGACTTCTGAAATGTGCTGCTTCAGTTACATCCAGTTTGGTGTTGATCAGCTACTACTTGAGAAATGTAATACTTGACTCACAAAATAGCAATATATTTCAATGTGAAGCAGGTCCTATTTCTACTTTGCTGTTAAGAAAATAATTATATTTAACGTACTGCAGGTGTCTAAATCATATAGCACTTCCTGGGTTCTGCAAATTCACTCAACTGTGCCTTAAAAACAAAATTCTGAAAAATTCAGAAATTCGGCAAAATTAAGTTTAGTTTTGTTGAGTTGACTAGTGTTGGCTTCAGTTCCCTAAAGCATACTGAGTAAAATCATTCAGTCAGAATAAAAATTAGATTATAATTGTTTCATACAGCAGAATTTGAAATAAGTAACACAAAGATTACCCAAGCATAATTCCTGAATGTGTTCTGTAAGCAGTGACAGATGTTTTTGTGTTTACAGAGGTGTCCTAGGCTGATTTTGTATTCCATCCACAAAATAGTTGTTTCCTATGGTCTGGCAACTGAAGTTGGGTTTTGTTTGCACCTTTCAACCGGTCATTTGGGAAGATAACTTTTGAAATGTAATAGGTTACAGATTACACTGTTAAAATGTAATAAGTAATGCAACCATTTTAATTACTTCATTAAAGTAATGTACCTTAACATTTGATTACTTCTGTATTACTTCCCTAACAAGTCTTTTAAATGGGACAGTACAGCTGAAAAGTCAGAAAAATGCGCAGCCTAGGGCCAGCCAATGCGCACTGATCTGATTGGCAGATGGTGCAGAGTTATACAAGAGAACCACTTAGAAGCAATGCTCAAATTTTAACACGCTACTAAATGAATGCAGCCCATCTAGATGTAGAGACAGCTCCCTGTAAACCATCACGTTCTTACAACATGCATATTTAAACAATTTTTGTTATAAAAAATGTTGATAGAGCAATTTTAAACTTGAGTATGGCCTTAGTGTTTTCTTGAATGCTAAACTGCTTTGTCCTCCTCATGAACACTAATAATTCAACCCAGGCAGATCCTCTGTGGTCACTATTTGCCTGGACTCTCACTGTGAGTCTGCTTGTGCTATTATTGGCCTCTTTAGCAATTTTAGACATTTAGTACTTTTTGCTTTCATAACTTGAAGCATGCTGAGATTTATGCTACCAAACAGAGTTTTATTTTACAGTGATTATGCCACCCTTTCTCACACTGCGGGGGCTGTGTTTGCTCTTTAATCAACTTGTCTGTGTGAATCACAAAGCCTGGAGTCCCCACGTCGTCTCGGCTACATGCTGTTTACCGGCATGCTGTGAGCCAGACACAACAAGATGGGGCCCACACACATATACACAAATAGGATGACTCTGGTAACATACACAAAAATAACATGTTCACTGAGCAGCAGGCTGGGTTTGAATGGCTGTATTTATTGTGCTTGAATGTGTGTGCATGTACGCACTCCCTGATGTGTCCTCAGATGCATGCCTGTGTTTGCTAGCTGAATTCATGCTTTTACATGTGTGTGCGTCTTATTTGTACAATACATATGTATGTCCAGACAATCCAGCTTATGATGTCTCCCTCTCAGTGGGGCAGCAATTTTACTGCTGAGCTGATGTGAGAATTTCTATTTCTCCATCCTGCTTTCAGTTCCAGATGGGACTCAATTTGCTTTGTCCATATTGGTTCATAATAACATATTTTGATTATCTTAGCATGGGGAGCCACATCAGGCACATCTTTACTGCAGCAGAGAAATGAAGAGCCTCGGACATGAATAGACAGAAACTGGAGGGTAATTTTTTTTTGGTATCCACACTTGAATTTGGATCTTTACCCATGTGGGTGATTAACCTCCACACATTTTAGTACCTAAAGGATTGTGTCTGTAGCACCAAGTATTGCAAACTGCCCTAAAAGTTGGTGTCACATGCTTAGGTTTTTGTTTATTCATACTTATAAACAGTAATTCTTCATCTACAATAATGATTTGGGGTATTTTGTTTGTTTTTTTTTTTATTTTATTTGGGGTCAAGTTTTTTTAACATGTGCTGATGCATTTACTAGTGAAAATCAGACAATTGGCTTCTTATGCTAAATGGAAAAAAGTATCAAAAAGTATTGATTTGGTATTGATTCAGAAATTCTGGTATAGTAGAGTGCTGGCACTGCTATCAAACCATAAAAACACCCAGCTGTATGTAGTGTCTGTAAAGATCATGCAAGTCATGCCAGCACGGTGTAGCACTGTGTAGCACTGTGTCTGTGGGTTAGTTGATCCACCACATAGGTCCAGACAAAAAATATTTTTGCTGTTGTATGGATTTTCAGGAAATCTGGTTCAAGGACTTTAGTGAACTGTGTTTTGATCTAACACCACCAAGACAGTTATTTTTGTTTAATGAAATGTTTTGACAGCTATCAGCTGGACTGAAGTAACATTTGCCATAGACATCTGTGTCTTCTTCTAAATAACTTTGTTGATCTCATATAAATCTATTAACAGGTCAACATTTGAAATTGTCCAGTACTTCTGTTTATGACCAAATTTCTGCAAATCTATTAGCACTCCAGCTGTACAATAATTTAACATGCTAAACTACAATGGTGAAGATGGTAAGCATTATTCCTGTGAAGAGTTAACAGTTTGTATTGTCACTGTGAGTATGTCAGCATGCTGTACAGTAGGTAAAACCACTGTGGTAATGCAAAGAACTACAGATATGACTATTGACTGTTAGCCTTGTTTAAAATTTCTCATTCATCTGATCTATATTCATGACCAATGCAATAATCTTTCATTGTAGGAAACCTTGACTAGAAAAAAATAAGTGCTCCAGTTCACCCTTTTCTGAAACAGGGGACACAGTGTGCAAGCTGAGTCAAAATAGATGCCCTGGTCTGTCAACTCCAAAATAGGCCTGTCTCTCTTAATACCCTCCCAACCAAGGCTGATCGAGGTAGGTATTTCTTTCCTGTTTTCAACATGGTCTTGAGGTTCATCTTTTTTTTTCCAGTTGGCAAAGCACCAATCGTTGGTCCAGCTGTAAGTTAGGGCTGCTTTTTTCCCCCAGCTTGGACATTCCTCTACTACCTGGCTGTCAGGCAGCCTGGTTGAAGTGGTCATTTGTGTGCACTTGGCGTGCAGTGAACCTTGATAGGACTCCTCACAACTGACAGTCAGTCTAATCACATCTTAACACAATTCCATCTTGGTGTGTGTGTAGTATGTGGGTGTGGATTGAGAGAAAGTGAAAGTGATCTCTCTATTTCTTGCAGGGCTTATTCCGAGGGAAGGCTTCAGAACCAGGGAGAGCTGTCATATTTCAACGCCACTTCTCTCATCAGCACTTCTGTATGAGGCAGAGTTCACTAAGTGCCTTGCCCACACATACAAAAAGATAACAGACATACACACTTGCCTCTTTCTTCATGTTTTCCCCTGGCTTTGTCTCACCCCTCTCTGTCTCTGTTTCACACACACAGACAACATAGCTGCTTGCACAGGAGAGTGCCTAGTATTTGCTGCAGGGTGACTGCAGGTGGATCACGGCATTGGCAGGGCTTTAGAGGTGTGCGGTTGTATGGGAGCTGCAGTGTGGGGCTCATTTGTTGCTGCCAGGCATCTCCTCCAACATTAAGAGAACTGGCCCTCGCAGATCTCTTTGATTATTGGCTCAAAAGACGACTGACAGCTCTGCATCCATTCAAGCCTTTGTGTTTCTGTCACACTGGATGATTTAAGAGTTAGATAAAGACCCATGGATATCTCGTTCGCACCCAACTAAACCTCCTCGGCTTTCTTGATCCCTCGCCCTGATCCTTGCCCCTCACACTCTCCCAGTCTGCTTCTCATTAGCTGCCTTTTTTTTTTTTTACATCTTCTTCACCTCTACAATCTCTTCCTCCCTCTTGTCTGAGCACCACAGCATCCTCCTCCAGTCTGATTTCTCTAGCCTTGGTAGCCTTCATCATCTCTCTCTCTCACACCTTTCATCTAATTACCCTTGCTTATGCTTTTGTAAACTCTAAAATGTTTGTAGTGTTTGTCTTTTGCAGCAACCAGATCATTTTATACGCCTGTCTGCTGTTTTGTCTTCTGTAGTGGGTGTCATCGGGGAATCAACCACAGCTGGTGACTGTCTACAAATTGAGTTCTAAACGGAAAATCTTCCCTCTTTTGGGAATCATCAGGGGCTTATCTGCTCTGATGCAAAACTGTACCAAAATGATCTTTTGACCCTGCTTGATTAAGAATTTGTTTCCACTTATTGCTAGAACATTTTGCACTCTAACATTGCAACATCTCAGTTTGTCATACTGCAGCAGAAGCAGCACTATTCCCTAAGCATCATTCTTACAAAATATGGCCCACCTGTTCATTTTTTGACACTTTGTCGACCACACAAATATGCTAACCAGCATTAGAGAACTTTTTTTCGTATCCTCTCTCAGCATGCTTCAGAAACTTGACAGTGAAAAATTTTTCATTTTTGCTCAGACAGTCTTTCTAAAGGTGGACAGTTTCTGAGCATCCCTGCTCAGATCCATTTAGAAAATGGCTTTTAGTTAACGTATTTTCTCCTTGAGGCTATGAATATTATTGATCTGTGTTTGCTGCTCCTCTCTCTCATCTATCTTCCTTCCTTTTTCATCATTTTCTCCTGAAATGTTAGAACTGAATAGGGTCCTCAGAGCCCTGTAGGCACCAGCTGTAGCAATGCCCACCTGCCTGTTAACCCTCTGACCTTGAGGAAACAACATCCAAGCAGCTGCAGTAGGATCATGCTTCTTGCATGTTTTGTCCTCTGTCTGTCCTTCTTGTGTTTGTCTTGTCTTTTCCCCCATAACTTTGTTTGTGC